GATTTCTAAACAGGCTATAAAGTATTAATCATTTTTTAAAATTGCTAAATTAGAGGCATTCCTGGGTGGCTCAGTGGTTGAGCATCTACCTTTGGCTCAGGTCATGATCCCAGGTTCCTGGAATCAAGTCCTGCACTGGGTTCCCCACAGGGAGCCTGCTTCTCCCTCTGCCTCTCTCTGTGTGTCTCTCATGAACAAATAAATAAAATCTTAATAAAATAAAATAAATAAAATAAAATAAAATAAAATAGCTAAATTAGACTACACTAAAATTAAGAACTTCTGCTCATCAAACAACACCACTAAGAGAATGAAAATGCAAGGCAGAGAGGTGAAAAGGGGGAACACGTGAAAGAGATGGACAGTATGTAAGACACATGTGCATACACACACAGAGAAAATATCCATTGTATATACACTAATACCTTAATATTTTTTAAAGATTTTATTTTTAAGTAATCTCTACACTCAATGTGGGGCTCAAACTCATAACCCTGAGACAAGAATCATATGCTCCACTGACTGAGCCAGCCAGGTGCCCTAATACCTTAATATTTGACCATAGTTCTCCTGTTAATATGTTTTACTTAAGCAAAATTTCAAGCAACTGAATGTTACCCATTCAAGAAACAAAACCTTTTAGCCAATTTTTATTTATTTATAAGTACTTATATACATTCCTGGTTGTGAAAGTAAAGATAATGCACACAAAATCTACCTTTACACAGACTACATAAGGTCACTGTTGGAGTTGGTATATAAAAAATATCCTCAAATGAAAGATTTCCTCTGAAAAAGTTACCCTCAAATTAAAACTAATCTTTAAAAAAATACTTAAGACTTACAGTCCAGACAAGATGGATTAAACTGATTTCTCCCTACTCCTCCCTCAATGTACAACTATAAATCCTAAAAATAATGCAAGAGACATCAAAAGAACAACTTTAAAGGTGTCAAAAGGAAGACACACTAGTTTGGGATCCCAGAACTAGAGGTATGATACAGAGGCAAGGTTTCTGTGCTCTCCCTTCCATCCAACTAAAGAAGACCTATCCAGAAGGTGACCTAACCCTAGCATGTCCCAATTCCCAATCTAGCACACAAGGCAGTGCAGGCAGACAAGTTCTTCTCTGGGGTTCAACAAGAATCTCTCCAATGTCACCACCAATTGAGCCCACCACTAAAGGCAAGAAGGTATGATGGAAGTTCCACTAACAAGAAGCAGTCAGGGGCAACAATTTCCTTCTCAAGAACTGAGATGTCCCTGCCCTACTGAGAAAAAACCGGATGGCCAAATAACAAGAGGAGGCAGGATGTCATGCCAAACCTTAACAGAATGAATACCTGTTAAAGATTTAAACAGGATTCAGAGTCTCCAACATAATAGATAAAGTGCCCAGGATACAACAACAAATCACCTATCTCACCACAAAATAAGAAATCACAGCTGGAATAAGAAAAGACAATCAACTGCCATCAACACAAAGATGAATCAGATGTTGGAATTATCTTACAGAAATTGTAAAGCAGTGGTCATAAATATGCTTTAGTGATCAATTTCATATTCTCTTGAAGCAAATGAAAAAATAAAAACCTCCGGGCAGGGGGCGTAGGGGGAGTTATAGAAAGAAGCCAAAAGGCAATTACAGAACTGAAAAATACAGGAGCAGAAATAAAAAATACTCTCTAAAGGGGCTCAATAGTAGAGATGCCAGAAGATGGAATCACTAAAGCTTAGAAAAGTGTAGTAGAATTTAACCAGTCTACACAACCAAGAAAATAGACTGAACACAAATGAACAAAAGCTTCAGGAACCTGTTAGACTCTAATAAAAGAACCAACAACATTTGTATCATCAGAGTCCCAGAAAGAAGAGAGAAAAGAGAATAGGGTTGAAAGAGTACTCAAAGATATAATGGCTAGAAACTCTTCAAAACTGGCAAAACAAACATACAGGGGCTAGAAGCTAAGGAGACACGAAACAGTATAAATCCAAGAAAATATACAGCAAAACACAGCAAAATTAAACCTCTGCCAACTAAAGAAAGAAAAAATCTGGAAAGGAGCCAGAGAAAAACACTGCATTATCTACAGAGGAATACCTTATCTAAAACTATGGAGGCCAAAAGTAAAAACACGCATCACTTTTCAAGCACTGAGAGACAAGAACTGTTACCCACAAATTCTATATCTAGAGACATTATCCTTCAGGAATGAAGAGAAAAAAAGACATTATCAAACAAAGAAGAATTTCTAGAAGGATTTGTCACTAGCAGACATACTCTTAAAGAATGGCTTAAGGGATGCCTGGGTGGCTCAGTGGTTGGGCGTCTGCCTTTGGCTTGGGTCGTGATCCTAGAGTCCTGGGATCAATTTCCAAGTCAGGCTCCCCGTGGGGAGCCTGTTTCTCCCTCGGCCTGTGCCTCTGTCTCTCCCTCTGTGTCTCTCATGAGTGAGTAGATAAAATATTTAAAATAAATAAATAAATAAAGAATGGCTTAAGAAGTTTCTTAAAATAAAAGAAAGTAATAAGAAATAAAGGAATCCTGGAGCGCCAGGAAGAAAGAGTAATAGAGCAGAAATCTGGGTACATACAATAAACTATTCTTCTCGTGAGTTTTATAGATCATATTTGAAGATGGAAACAAAAATGATAAATACCTGGTGTTTAATATTTAAAAGTGGGGAAGATAAATGGAAGTAAGGCTTTCATACTTTACTCAAAGTGGTAGAATGCTGATCCAGGAGACTGAGAATCTACAGTAGTCCACTTTTATCCATGGGAGGATACATTCCAAGTGGACACCTGAAACTACAGATAGTATCAGACTCTATATATACTATGTCTATTCAATACCTACATACCTATGGTAAGTTTTAATTTATAAATTAGGCACAGTAACAGATTAACAATAAGAATAAAAACAATTATAAAATATACTGTAATAAAAGTTACATGAATGTGGTCTCTCAAAATCTTATTGTCTTGTGTTCAGTCTTCTTGTGCTGATGTAAGGTGATAAAATGCCTACATGATGGCATGAAGTGAGATGAATGACAGGCATTGTGATGAAGCTTTAATCAACTACCAACCTCCTGACCTTGGGCAGGAGGAGGATCATCATCTTCTTTGGACTGCAGGTGACTGCAGGTAAATGAAACTAAGGAAAGTGAAACTGTAGATAAGGGGGGACTACTGTGTGTATGTGTGTTTGAGAAAGAGAGAAGCCCAAGCAACACTATAAAAACTCTAGAGTACAAATAATAAAATGACAGACCTAAGCACTAACATATTAATAATTACTACTATTTGTACAGGTGAAGTCCTAACCTCTAATGTGACCATATTTGGAGAAAGGGCCGTTAGGAGGTAATGAAAGTCACACAAAGTCAAAGGGTGCAGCCCTGACCTAATAGGATTAGTGTCCTTATAAGAAGAGATACTACAGAGTTCCATTCTTCCTCCACCCACACACAAAGAACAGGTCATGTGGACACACAGAATGACAGCCCCTACCTACAAGCCGAGGGAAGAGGTCTCAGAATGAAACGTACCTTGCCAACACCTTGATCTTGGACTTTTCAGCCTCTAGAACTGTGAGAAAATAAATGTCTACTGCTTAAGTCAACCAGCTTACAGACTTTGTTCCAGCAGCCTGAGCAGACTTAAGACAATTACCTTAAAAGTAAATGAACTAAATACTAATCAAGACAGAGGCTGACAGAATGAATTAAAAAAAATAAAGCGACTCAAATACAAGCTGTCTACAAGAAACTCAGTCCAAATTCAACAACAGAAGTATATTGCAAGTAAAAGGACAGAAAAGGTATGCTATGTAAATGTTAACTTAAGAAAGCAGGAGTGATATCAATACTTTCTGACAAAGCAGCCTTCAGAACAAAGAAAATTATGAAAAACAAACAGGGATATTATAGAACAATAAATGATCAATCTACCAGGAAAACATAATGAACCTTAATGTGCATACACCAAAAAACTGGGCCTCAAATAGAGGAAGCAGAACCTGACAAACCTGAAAGGATTTATAGATAAATCCACAATTAATAGTTGGAAATTTCAATACCTCCCTCATCAGCTAACAGAACTACTAGGAAAAAAAAAATCTATAAGGATGCAGAAGATCTAAACAACAAAACTAATCAACTAGATCTAATTGACATAAATAGGACACCCCAACCAACAGCAGCAGAATACACAATTTTTTTTTCCAAGGACCCGCAGAAAATTCAGAGAGATAATATCATGGGCTATAAAACAAAACTTCACAAATCTTTAAAACTTGAAATTATATACAGTGTGTTCTTTGATTATAATAGGATCAACTAGAAATCAATAAAGAAAGTTAATAGAATAGGGGCACCTGGGCAGCTCAGTCAGTTAGGTGTCTGCCTTCACAGCTCGGGTCATGATTCCAGGTCCCTGTAAGCAGGGAACCTGTTTTTCCCTCTCCTCCTTGCTAATGCTCTCTCTGGCTATCTCTCTCTCTCTCTCAAATAAATATAATTTAAAAAAAAAGATAGCAAAATAATCTGTAAACACATGACAATGAAGCAAACCACTTCTAAATAACCCATGTGTCAAAATGAAGTCTCAAAAGAACTTCTAAAGATACACAAAACTGAATGGGAATGAACTTACAGCATACCAAAATATATGGGAGGGAGCTAAAACATGCGGACAAGGGATTGTATAGCACTAAATATTTATATAAGAAAAGGTCTCAAATAGTCTAAGTTATTACCTCAAGAAACCAGAAAAAAAAAAAAAAACAAAGCAAGCAGAAAGAAGGAAATAAAAATAAAAGCAAAATCAGTGATAGTGGGAGAGGCCTATAAAGAAAATTAAACAAAAGCTGGTTCTTAGAAAATATATCATTTTTTTGTATTTTAAAAGCCAGATATATTTTTTAAATATCACGTCTATAATAAGTAAATTATGTAGTGATGGAACATCAAAAAAAGTTGATGAACAAAAGAGTTCAGGAGTAGAAAGAACAGAAGAGTTCTCTTTTGATTTGATTCAAAGTAGGAGAAAGGGAAACTGGTGTATTAAAATTATTTTTGGGGTGAAAGTTTCTGTCAGTTGAAGCAGTTAGCATTGGCTTCTTTCTCTCCGGTCCAAAGCAGTCTTTTCTTTCATTGGCTTCTGAGAACGTGTTTAATCTTCCGCTGTGTAGAAGTGATACATCAGTGCTGAGATGGCTGGGATCACCCAGTTGGTCCACCAGCTGGAATTAGAATCAACAGTAGTAATGAGAGTTTCCGAAGGCTTGTTTATCTTTGCTCTGTCATCCGGATGAAGTTCCCCAATGATGAATGTTTTGGACAATTCTCTGGCATCTGTAGAGTGCCCCACATCCTCGAAATTTTCAGTAGCATCCCCTCCAGCTTGTTCCCTTAATACTTCTTCCCCACCAGGATGCTCCTCCAAAAACTTGGTCAAATCGTACACCTTGTGGTGCAGGATCAACCAGGTGCTCTTGCTGTGGTTGTGCTTCTGGATCTCTTCCAGGGTGTAGTACTTGACGGTCTGGTCCGACTGCTCGGCCGTTTCAGAAAGCGGCAGGCCTCAGGCCGTGCAGACAGCAGCCTAGCCGGGCCGAGCTGAGCGCATCTCAGAGAGCTCGACCCGGGACATTCCCCGTGCCCCAGCCCCGAGCGGACCAAAATATATCATTAAAATCAATTAACCTCTATCTACAAAGACTAATAAAAAGAGCAGACACAAATCAACAATATCAGGAATGAAACAGTAGATATCACTACAGATCCTGAAGCCATTACAGGATAATAAGTAGGGGCGCCTGGGTACAGTTGGTTAAGCGCCTGACTTCTTGGTTTTGGCTCAGGTCAAGATCCTATGGGTCATGGGATCAAGCCCAGCATTGGGCTCTGTGCTAAGTGGGGAATCTGCTTGGAGATTCTCTCCTTCTGCCTCTCCCCTCACTCATGCACTCTCACTCTCTTTCTAAAATAAATAAATCAATCTTTAAAAAACACACACTCTCTCTCTAAAATAAATATATCAATCTTTAAAAAAATTTTTGGAAAAAAAGATAATAAGTAAATATTAGCAAATTTACTTTATACTTATAGATTCAGTAATTTAGAAGAAAATGGTAATTCCTCAAAAACCCCTGAACTAAGATGAAACAGATAATCTGAATAATTCTACAAACATTAAGGAAATTAAATTTGCAACTTAAAAACTAAAAAGAGAAATCCCCAGGCTTAGAAGATCTCACCAGAGACTTTTATTAAACATTTAAGGAAAAATTAACATCAATTTTATATAACCTGTGAACCTCTTCTAGAAAACAAAAGGGGGGGAACAGTTCTCAACTCATTCTGTGAGGCCAAAGCTACCTTTTCATTTATGTGTACACTAAAACCCGTGCATGAATGTTCATACTATCACCATGTGCAACAACTTGGACGAATATCCAGGAAATCATACTGAATGAAAAAAGCCAATCCCCAAAAGTTACATATTGCATGACCACTATTTATGAAATGATAAAATTGTAGAAGTGGAAAACAAACAGTAGTTGTTGGGGTTAGGAAGAGAGAAGGTGGGAAGGGGGTGAGTGTGGTTACAAGTGACAGCTGGAAGGAAGGAATGGTCATATGGCTTGTCTATGATGGTAGATACACAAACCTACAGAAATGATAAAACTGTATAGAACAAAATACACACACACACACAAAAGTACTAGTAAAACTGGGTAAGACTGATGGATTGTATTAGTGTTATATCCTGGTTGTAATACTGCACTATAGTCTGTACAAGATGCTACCATTGGAGGAAGTTGGGGAAAAGGTACATGGGATCTCTATTATTTTTTATGATGATATGTGGATTTACGGTCACATCAACAAAAATGTCAAGTAAACAAAAAACGGTAATTGCTATCTAAGTTCACTCCTTACAGACAGTCAAAAAAGGTAAAGACAGAGCTGGGAAGAGCAGGTTTTATCTATAGCTATAAAGTCAGCTTACACTAATGGTTAAGAAGGAGAATTTCAAAACAACATGACTTCTATGGAAGCACACATTCCAGCATCCAGGTCACCAAATCCTATTATCAGACAATGAGAAGGCAAAGCCAAAGCCAAACACACATAGATTTAAAAAAAAAAAAAAAAAAAAAAAAGCCAAAGTAGTTCTAGACCACAGAATACAAGGACAAAACAAGAGTAGACCAGCAATATACCAATAAGAAAAGAACTGTAAGTTATGACGGAGTCATAGCCCCTTATATCTGGTTTATCACATGCAGATGTCCACTTTGGCTTTCCTTCCTAAAATAATCAGAACTCTGTGAGACTTACTTAATCACAACAACTATTGGCACCCATTATTATAATAGCAATATGCAGTTCCCTCTGTCATTTAAGGTTGGTTACTTCCTACAAGGCTGTGGATAAACCAAAAAGCCTAGTCTGTTAAGAATTGTCTGTTATATTAAGAGTGATATCCAAATGCCTGGAACAACCTTGACACATAACATTTATTAAGAAACAGAAATGAGAGAATAATTTGTCAATGAATTAATAAAAGTCAGTGGGCTTTTGTCAATAAAAAGATATATTCATGGTAATTTTACATGCAGCTGCTAAGGGTCCCTGAAGATCCTATAGCCCACATTTTGTGACACCTTGGTTTAGAGAAGCATAATCCAGCAACTTAAGTCATTTACCTCTTTAAAGAAGAGGGTCAGATAGGACAACTTCTCAAAGCCCTCTCCCTCCAATGGTATCATTAAATGATCCATACCCTTGTCAAACCCCTGATGGCATTACCTCTCTCTGACTGTCAAATAAATAGCACAGATTTTTAACTGAACATTTATGTAACAGAATCCTTAAACATATTTACCATCGGGGAGATAGGTCTGAAATATAAGTTGGAAGCTAAAGAAAAAATGAACTCTTTTGTGAATTGTCAGTAAAGTCAAAAGATCATTAAGTTGAAAAGAGAGTAGGCCTCAGGGGGAGAAAAAGGTCAATACCATGATGCTGCACTATGTCAGTCTGGTTAGAAAATATGCTCAATTTAGCTCAGTTTTGGCAAAAATACATCTCCAAGCAAATTCTATCCTCTCAAAAAAAAAGTTTTAATCTAGAAAACTCATTAAAAATGTATGGAGGAAATTAATTTGGTACATAATACATCATGAGATGTCTAAAAGTACCCAAACTTTTTCAGGCCTCCTAAAGCAATCTTTATTGACTATCAGCATAAGAGCCACTCCCCGGTGTACAGACCTGAGGCTTGGATTCCCTGAGCTGCAGTGTAGCTTTTTGAGTACACCTGAAAATGAATTATTAATAGAGACTAGATCTTCCCAGAGAAACCATAAAATATTCAACATGGATAAAGTGACTCTATCCTTACTATATTCTCACCTAATCTTCTTGCTGACCAAATCTTCTTCAGTTTGGAAAACTGCAGGATGATTCAAACTGCTCTACATATAAACTTTTGAGGAATGTCATCTATTACGTTTTTTAAAAGTCTGATTTTTTTTTCTTTGCACCTGAATGAAAGAATTGGAATTTTTAAAATAACTGAAAATAGGGGCACATGGGCTCAGTCACTTAAGCATCCGACTCAGCTCAGGTCTTGATCTCAAAGCTTGTGAGTTCATGCCCTGCACTGATTTAAAAATAAGTCAAATTTAAAATGAAATAAAATAAAGTAAATATATATTTAATCCACAAGAATGTTTACCAAATAGAATTAGGTCACTGTCTTGGCAATGAGTTCCTACATCTATAGCCCTTGTTTTCAATCTCTTTTTTCAGCCTCTCATTTGCTGCAATGTTGAAAGGATGACAATAAAGCAGGAGACCAATTACTGGAGCCCAAAATGGAATTCCTTAAGGCAGGTGCCATGTTCCACGTCCAGATGCTAATGGACTGGACTGTGTGTGGAGAATCACTCAGTCTCGGGGCTACCAAGGGTCCAAGGCTTGCCTCACTCAAAGCCGAGATTCTTCTGCAGCAATTCTGGTAAGAGGTTCTTCCTCCTCTATTCAACCCTGCCAGCATCTGGGACATGCTGCTGCTTTCTGAGACTGCCCACTCCATTCTCACAGCTCTGGCTGTTAGAAAGTTCTCTTATAGTGGGTACAAATCTGTCTCTGCAATTTCCACCCACGAGTTCTAATTCTATCCCTTGGGACCACACAGAAAAAGCCCAATCCTTCTCCACATGTCAGCCCTTCAAATATTTGAAGGGAGTGATCAAGTGTCCCATGATCATCATGGTAGGCTGAATACATCCTAATCCCCAGGATCTCTGAGAATATCATCTCCTATGGCAAAAGGGACTTTGCAGATACAATATATTAAAGATGGTGAGAAAAAATAAAAATAAAAAAAATAAAGATTGTGAGATAGAGAGGTTAGCCTGGATTATCCAGGTAAGCCCAATATAACCACAAAGGTCCTTATAATATGAAAATAAAAGGGCCAGAGTGAGAGAATAAGACTTGAACAAGGAGGTAGAGGCTGGATGATGCTCCCTGAAGATGAAGGAAGGGGCCATAAGCCCAGGAATGCAGGCAGCATCTGGATGCTGAAAAAGGCAAGAAATCAGATTCTTTAGAAATTAGAAATTAGAGCGTACAGAAGGAATGTAGCCATGCAGATCCATTTAGGCTTCTGACCTCTGGAACTGCATGGTAATAAATCCATGCTCATTTATGCCATTAAATTTACGGTGATCTATTGCAGCAGCAAGAGGAAATGAGTAGACTCATTATCTTTCCACACTGAAAGATTTCATCAAGTACTCTTTAAATGCACACAGTTTCAAGTCTCACCCTTTGAGATACTCCCAATCTTTCTTTTGTCTGAAACCCATGTGTTTCCTTCATCCTATCCTTGTAACCTCTTCTCCCAAAATAGCTTTAAACTTTCCCTCCAGCAATGATGTCCAAAGCCCTATCCACTTGGTCCACTGGCCCTTACCAAGTACATTCTCAGAATAACTGCTCAATAAACAAGTTTTAAGCTGAAATGAAACAACTGTTCAGAAATCCCAACAGTTCCGATCTCCTAAAAGATTAAAAGGCCTTATTCTTCCTCTTCTCCCAAACCGAGTATAATAATTTCAGAATCCTCAATTTCTTTTCCATCTATAAGGATTTAAGCCATTACAGAGGACTTCTCAACTGAGACTTTTAGTCATATGACTTCTTGTTTAATAAAACCACTGTGGAGCCTAAAGATAAAAGTTCCCTATATTATGCATATGACTGATGTTTCCTAATACTGAGTCCCCTAAACTCTACATTTATTTTTAATTATCATGCAAACTGTAGAATTTATCACAAAAATCAATTACACAAAAGTATAGTGTTAGTTAAGCCAAATGTTTTTACAAAATATTTAAAAGCTTATATGATAGCTTTATCTGCCAACATTAATTTCTTCCAGCATAATAATGATACAGCAAAAAATAATAATAATAGTAAGTGAACTGTTTGACAAATACTGTAATAAGCATCGTACCAATAGTAAAACTCACTTTATAATCTTAAAGCTTGTCCTACCGCATTCTATTCATAGATGTTAAAGTTTAGTGCACTCTGATCATTATATTTCAGAATTGTATTGGATATTAAATCATTCACCATAATACTTTCTCACTAAGCTTCTGTGAATAAGGGCAAACAGGTCTCTACTTAATTCTAATCAAATATATGTTTACTGAAAATCCCTGAGCCCAAGCCCTACATTAGGATAGTGGGGAAATTCAAATATGTAGAAGACATGGTCCCCAGCTTCAAGAAGACAGCATATTTATCAATAAAAGGAGGAAAAGAGGAATAAATACTAGGCAAGAGAACAAATGGGCAGCATAGACAGTGAGGGTCATAAAAGAGTTCCAAAGAGAGTGCTCTATGGACTAAAAGGATCAAAGAAGTTGAAAGTAGGATGTGACCTAGAGAGAACTCAGAGAGAAATGGCAAAGAACATACCACACTAGTGAAACTGTACAAATAAAGACAAGGTGGCAAAAGACATACTCAAAGAACAGAAGGCAACCAAATTGGACACTGTGGAGAATTTTATGTCAGGAAGTAGAAAAAGATGGCACAAAAAGTGGGTTGGCAACAAATTACAAAGCCAAATAAGTCACCCATCAGAGTGCATTACATGCATCTGACATTCAAACTTTCTAAAGAAAGGTCTTGAATGCTAGACAAATGAGCTTGTATCTTCTCTGGTAAGTAACAGGGAACCACTGAGGCTTCTGGGTAAGAGAATGACTTACATAAAACTAAATTAGCAGTAGTTTACAAGATAAAAGGGAAAAGCAAAAAACTAAAATCAAAGAGCCCCAGATTTGAGGCAAGAAAAACCCAATAAGAAAGCAGATATGAAAATAAATAGATGAGAATATAAACAAGTATTATGAAGAAAGAACTCACAAAACTTGGCACTAACTTTTTTTTTTCTTTTTTCAGGAGAGGGGTTTCAAGAGTCTAATATTATTCTAAAGTATTTAAGTCCAGATGAGACAGAAAATGCATTTGGAAACTGTTTAGCAAGTACCTAGTATGCCGGTCACGGAGCAAAGTGGTAGGGATAAAATAATGACCATGACAATGAACTACATCAGCGAGGCTTAAAGACTACCAGGGCACTGAAGAGTAACTATTGTTACTAACAGTGTGACAAACACTATGGATAAGTAAAGTAAAGCACATACGACAAGTACATAACCTCAAAACTGAGAGCAGGAGAGGAAACTGATTTTAGGAAGGAAATCAAATACCAAAAGAGGTGGAGGAGCAAGAAGCAGAAACATGAAAGGACACATATACATTAGACTCATTCTTAATTTACTCAATTAAGTATAAGCTATCAGAAACCAATGTGTCCCCAATTTAGAAGACTCCAAATATTTACTCCTATAATAATTTGTTTCATTGAAACCCCAAATTTTTATTTTGATGAAGCATATTTCAAGGTAAAATTACATGCTCAAAAGATTACCTACCCAAAAAGGGGCACTAGAGAATTTTATGGGTCATGAAAATATTCTGAATTTTGATTGTGATGGTGATTACATGACCATTCATTCATCAAAGCCAACAGAAGTATATCTAAAAAAAGGGTGAATTTTACTTTGGGTAAATTATATCTTAATAAATCTGACCCCCAAATCACCAATGATTTACTTGCTAAAATCAGTAGTGATTATTCAAAGGTGATTGAATAGTTATTTAATGTTTTATTAGAAACAAAGTATATGCCACTATCACTTTACTATTTATAGTACTGTATATGCATAGGCTATGAACACATACATCTTAATAAATTTGTGATTTTATCATTTTTATTTAAATGGTACTCCCCGTATTTCATCCTAAATTTGAGAAACAAGTCTGAATACTCCAACTCAGCATCTAACCTGAGGTCCCCACTCATATCCTATCATCATCCTAACAAATTTAAAATCTAAGTCATATTCCTCCTTAAACCAGCTGTCTTCAAACTCTCCTTTCTTCTGTGTCTCAAGATTTGTCACCATTGATACCTGGTATCTCTTCCTTACCACAGTATCCAGTTCTACCTATCTGGAAAATAGGACTCTTCCTTTAAAGGTGTCCACACTCATCTCTACCTCCTCTATCTGTCCTACATACCAGTGCCAGATGAAGCATATATTCTTTTATTAATTATATAAACTCAAAACATCTCAAAAACAGTTGGCTATTCTCACTGACTTTAGGATAAAATGCAAATGTCTCTCATTAGCTTTCAAATCTGACCTCTGGATACAACTCTATCCAGAAAGTATAAAATAAACTGATTTAAAAATTATTAGAAAGGCAAGATACTGGGAGAGGGGGTAAAGAGGTAACATACCAGAAGTTTTAAAAGAAGTACAGGTATATTCTGGAGTAAGGAACAGACCAATTCAATTGGTATCGGAGGGAATAATTGGGTGTGAGGTTGGAAAAGCAGTCTAGGTCTACACTTTTTTTTTTAAAGATTTTATTTATTTATTCATGAGAGAACAGAGAGAGAGAGAGGCAGGGACACAGGCAGAGGGAGAAGCAGGCTCCATATAGGGAGCCCAACGTGGGACTCGATCCCGGGACTCCAGGATCACGCCCTGGGCTGAAGGCAGGCACTTTAACTGCGGAGCCACCCAGGTGTCCCTAGGTCTACACTTTTAAGACCTGCATGCTAACCTGGTAGTTTTAGTAGATAATAAGGGAAATCATGGATTTTTTTTTTTTTAAAGATCTTATTTATTTATTTCAGAGAGATGGAAAGAGAGCATCAGGGGAGGAGCAGAGGGAGAAGACAAGCAGACTCCACACTGAGAGTAGAGTCCAACTCCGGGCTTGATCTCAGGACTCTGATATCATGACCTGAGCCAAAACCAAGAATCAGACACTTAACCTACTAAGCCACCCAACCGCCCCCATCATGGATGTTTCTGAACACAAGAATGCCGTAACAAAAGTGATGCTCAAGGAAATTACTCTGGGGCTGGAGTACAGGATGTAATGGCAAAGAAGAAATAAAAAATAGAGGCTAAGAAACATCACAGCCAATGTAAACAGTCTAAACATGAAAAGGACTTGAATGGTGGCAGGAATTTAGGAAACAAGGAGAAACCATCCTTCTCAGCTATTGTTGGTATTCACAACCTCCCCAAAAAAACTAGACAGTGGTGGGGGTCCTATCAGGCACATCTGTTGGGGTGATTCGGCAGGGATGGTTATAAGATTCATCCATATAGTTTGATTAAAATTAACAGAAATTATTCAATCTGGAAAGCAATGGGCCCGGGTAATTCAAATAATAAGAAAGCTCCCCAAAAACACAATAGGGAAGGGGATCTGGTATTAAAAATTGCTTGTTTCTAAAAATGCAAAGATTTGCTTCAGATTTTCATTATTTGGTCTATAACACATTCACACAAATACTGTGAAACCTATATGAAAATAATACGCCATATTTCACATCACAAATGGAATTAGTGTTGCAAATATGAAATTCTTAAGTCCTAATTATAGTATCTAGCAGCATATTACACATAAACATCCTTTATTTAAATC